CAGCGGCACAAATCAAACGTAAATTTCTTGAAGGCGACGCGACAAAGAAAACGGCAAAGGCCTCGCACTCACTCACTCATTCTTGGAGTTTGAGATTCTGAGAATCGGAAAATTATTGGGCAAGAGTTAAAGAATCAGAGAGTCCAAGAGCCAGAGTCAGTGTGGTTAAGAATAGGAGGTGGGAAAGCAGGAGAGTAAAAAAAAAGTAAGGCTCAGCGTCAGAGCATTGGAAAGTAGATAATAAGAGAACCAGAAATGAGGAAAGAGTGTTAAAAAAAAAAAAAAAAATAATAATAATAATAATCTAGAGAAAGAGTAACTACCTATCATAAAGTCAACGACCTAGAGATTTAAAAGCCTAAGAGAATAAAAGTCAAAGAATAAGAACCCGAAGTGTAAAAGAGCTGCTAAGTAAAGGCCTAACCAAAGAGCCAGAAGACCAAAGAGCCAAAAAACAAAGAACCAGAAATTCAGAGAGACAGAAGACCAAAGAGCCAAGAAACAAAGAGCCGCAAGACCAAAGAGCCAGCAATTCAGAGAGCCAGAAGACCAAAGAGCCAGCAATTCAGAAAACTAGAAAACCAAAGAGCCAGAAGACCAGAGAACCAGAAGACCAAAGAGCCAGCAATTCAGAGAGCCGCAAGACCAAAGAGCCAAAAAACAAAGAGCCGCAAGACCAAAGAGCCAGCAATTCAGAGAACTAGAAAACCAAAGACCCAGAAGACCAGAGAACCAGAAGACCAAAGACCCAGAAGACCAGAGAACCAGAAGACCAAAGAGCCCGCGCCTCAAAGAGCCCAGGCGTGTGAGCGAGAGCGGGAGAGCGGGCGGGCCATCACCCCCTCCTCCTGACGACGGAATATTCGTGACTGCCTTAGAGTTGCCGTCGCCTCTGACAGGTGGAAGCGAAGACCCACTTAAGACGGCGGCACTTGCAGGAGTGCACTTGCAACTTGCGTCGACTGGAATGAGTTTCCGCCTTGCAGTCATGATCTTGCAAATCCATGGGTTGCAGACCCGTTGTTTAATAATTCCTTGTTAGTCATTTATTCTCTATTTAGATGGTTTTATGCAATTAACCGATGTTAGACCTGTACATTAATGTTAATCGAAATTGGTGATTATTTTTATCGGGTATATAATATACATGATAGATACGTACGTACATACATACACACACGCACACGCGCACACCTCCCTCCCTCCCCCCCCCCCCCTCTCTCTCTCTCTCTCTCTCTCTCTCTCTCTCTCTCTCTCTCTCTCTCTCTCTCTCTCTCTCTCTCTCTCTCTCTCTCTCTCTCTCGCTCTCTCTCTCTATTTATCTATCTATCCACATATATGCAGAGAGAGAGAAAAGATAACAAAGAGAATGGTAATACGAATAGAGAAAAAAATCAGAAGGTAAAAGAAAGACAGAGAGATATAAGAACAAAAGAAAGAAAAAAGAGAAAGAAAATGGGATGAAAGCAGAAATGACAAAACAGAATTTTTAAAAAATAAAAGAGAAAGAGATAAAGACCAATGAATAAAAGAATGAAGATGAAAGCGAGAAGTAAAAAAAGAAAAGAAAAAACGGAAAGTGAGAGAGAGAAAGAGAGAGAGAGGGGGGGGTAAAAGCGAGAGAGAGAAAGAGAGAGAGAGAGAGAGAGAGAGAGAGAGGGGGGGGGGGATAAAAGCGAGAGAGAGAGAGGGGGGGGATAAAAGCGAGAGAGAGAGAGAGAGAGAGAGAGAGAGAGAGAGAGAGAGAGAGAGAGAGAGAGAGAGAGAGAGAGAGAGAGAGAGAGAGAGAGAGAGAAGAGAAAAAAGAGAGAGGAAAGAGAAGAGAGAGAGAGAGTGAGAAAGAGAGGGGGGGGGGATAAAAGCGCGCGCGAGAGAGAGAGAGGGGGGGGGATAAAAGCGAGAGAGAGAGAGAGAGAGAGAGAGAGAGAGAGAAGAGAAGAGAGAAAGAGAAAAGAGAAGAGAGAGAGAGAAAAGAGAAGAGAGAGAGACAGAGAGAGACAGAGAGAGACAGACAGACAGAGACAGAAACAGAGAGAGTGAGAGAGAGAGAGTTACAGACAAAGATGAGTGCCACTTAAGACAATATACTCATCACAAAGGCCTATTCGGTCCTCCTCAGGTCTGGTAATTACTGTGAGGTGACAATGAAAGGAGACTTTGGGTGACTCCCTTTTTTCTTTTTTCTTTTTTTCTTTCGTTTTTTTCGTTTTTCTTCTTTTTTATATGTGTAGGGTTATGAGGATCACATTCTTCGTCAAAGTGGCAGTAGTTTGAAGGAGAAGGCAATTTTAGAGAATTTTCTGATTATAGATGAGGAAGGAGAAGGGGAGAGAGGGAGGGAGGGAGGGAGGGAGGGAGAGAGAGAGGAGAGAGAGAGGAGAGAGAGAGAGAGAGAGAGAGAGAGGGAGAGAGAGAGAGAGAGAGAGAGAGAGAGAGAGAGAGAGAGAGAGAGAGAGAGAGAGAGAGAGAGAGAGAGAGAGAGAGTGAGTGAGTGAGAGAAAGAAAGAGAAAGAGAGAGAGAGAAAGAGAAAGAGAAAAAGAGAAAAAGAGAAAAAGAAAAAGAGAAAAAGAGAAAGAAAAAGAAAAAGAAAAAGAGAAAGAGATAGAGAGAGAGAGAGTATTGCCTACAGAGCCCTAAAAAGTAATGGGTAGATATCATGTGTTTGAAAGTAAACAATAACAGCTACCTAACGAGTATCGAATATCAGACATTCGTGCCATGGGAGACAGAGGGATATAGTGGGATATGTGAACTGAAGGGAAGGAGAAAGAGAAGGGTAGGGGAAGGAGAAAGGGAAGGATAGGAAAGGGAGGAAGGGAAAGGGAAAAAATAGGGTAGGGAAAGGGAGAGGGAATGGGAAGAGTAGGGAAAGGAAAAAGAATGGGGTAGGGAAAGGGAGAGAGAATGGGAGGAGGAGGGAAAGGAAAAAAAATAGGGTAGGGAAAGGGAGAGGGAATGGGAAGGGGAGGGAACGGGAAGGGGAAAGGAAAGGAGAAGGGGAAGGGGAAGGGAAAAGAAAGGGACAACGAGGGGTGAAATGGAAAGGGGGGGGAAGAGGAAGGGGAGGGGGAAGGGAAAGGAGAAAGGGAAGGGAGAGGAAAGGGAAAGGAGAAAGGGGAGAGGGAAGGGAAGGGGCAGCAAGGTAAGGACAAGGGGTAGAAATAACTACGGACAAGTACAAAAATATTGACAGGGGGAAAAATGACACAACCTTATATAGAAGGGGGGTAGAAAAAAGGGAGGAAAGGGCAAGAGAGGAGATGATGGAAGGAGGAGGGGGAAGAAGGAGGGGGGGAGAAGGAAGAGAGAAGACGATGGAGGGAGGAAGAGGGAAGAAGAAGGGAGAGACGGAGGAAGAGAGAAGAGGAAAGAGGGAAGAGGGGAGAGGAAGGAGGGAGGAGGACGAGAAACAGGAGAAAGGGGGATTAGAGCATGGGGAGGGGGAGAGGGGGAAAGAAGGACCGATTATCACAGAAAAAAAGAAAGAAGAGAGAGTCTGCCTAAGGAGGAGAGAGGAAAAGAGATATCTGGAGAGGGAAGTGATGAGCAGCCTCAGGGAGACAGAGTGGGAGGGGGGGGGGGGTAAAAAAAAGAAAAAAAAAAAAAAAAAAACGAAGGAGAGGAAAAAAAATGGCTCCTGAAAAAAAAAGCAAAGTCTCATCGAGAGAGTTAATGATGGAAAGTGTAGCTTCAAGACGGAGGTGACGACAGGGAAGAAAGGTGCGAGATGGGGAAAAATCCTTAGGGGAAAAAACCTAGGGGGGAAAAAATTGGCTTAGCATGAGGTGGTAAGGGAGAAAGAAAGGGGAATAAAAGGGAAGGCGAAGAGGAGGGAAAAGGCCGAACGAAAGAGGAGGAGAGGGGGGGGAGGAGTAATTTTTATAACTACGACTGAATTCGACTTGCAAAGATCACGTGACTCTCACCCTTATCGCTCCTATCTTTATTTCACTCCTTTTATCTTCTTATCTTTTACAGGGGATGTTGACGGACCAACGACCACGCACTCGGCCCTCGCAGACACTCCTTCACGACCTCCCAGAGTGGTTCCTGGTACTTGTCGGGGGTCGTTTGCACCTCGATTACTTCCTGACACAGCGATTCGGCCTTGCAATACCCACTCCTCCCCCCCCCCCCCACCACCACCAGCCCTGAGATGTCCCCACTATCACCACTAACCCCCCCCTCCCCCCACCCCCACCACGATTCCCCACGAAAAAAAAACCCACCGATCCCATTAATTCCCCATCAAGCCCCAACCCACCCCCATTCTTCCCCACCCATCTCCTGCCCAACCCCGCCCATCCCCACCAAACCCCACCAGTTCCCCCCCCCCCCCATTCCCACCCATCTCCTGCCCAACCCCGCCCATCCCCACTAAACCCCATCGATTCCCTTTATTCCCCCACCCATTCCCACCCATCTCCACCCCCCCACCCCACCCCCAATCCACTTGGCTAAAAGTCTTCGTTGGAAAGTGGGAGGGGCCTGGGTGAAGGAGGGGCAAGTGGGTGGGGCCTGGGGGAAGGGGCGGGGCGACACATGCTCATGACACCCGATGTCACTCTTGGGCAGTTAGAAGCTAGGTTTATAGGGTTCGCGCGAGGCCGTATTCCTCCCCGGATTTTTTCTTTTCATTCTTATCGGAATCTTTGTGTGTCTGTGTCAGTCAGTGTGTGTGTGTGTGTGTGTGTGTGTGTGTGTGTGTGTGTGTGTGTGTGTGTGTGTGTGTGTGTGTGTGTGTGTGTGTGTGTGTGTGAGTGTGAGTGTGAGTGTGTCTGAGAGAGAGTGTGTGAGTGTATCTGTATGTGTGCACAATTTACATACACACTGACCTGCAAAAACCTACCTCCTTTTTTTTATTTCTTCCCCATTCCCTTATCGATTCCTCCTCACAAAACATAAACAACCAAATAAACAAAACAGACAAATAAACAATCATTAATAAACAAGACTAAGAGCAGCCGCAACGAGCGATGCCCACCCGCGCTCCACTCACCTATAGAAAGTGGCGCCGAGCTTCCACCTGGCGTTCGTGTGGCCTTCGCAAGAGAGCTGCGGCTTGAGGCTGAGGTGCTCGTTGCGGGTGTCGCTGAGGAAGTTGAGGACGCCGAAGCCGAAGATCCTGATGGTGGTGACGATGGCCTCCTGAAGGGCGTCGTCGTTTGTGTCGAAGTGAACGCCTGGAGGAGGAAGAGAGGGAGAGATAAGCGTTTTAGATACAGGGACGGATGTGTTTTGTTTTTTTGGTATTATTACTAATATCTGTATATTATGATGCTGTAATCATTACCGTCAGTATGATTAGGGATAATATTGATAATGTTAATGACAATCAATTATCGTTGTCACTATTGTTAGATACTTATCATCGTTATCATTATCAATATCATTATCATTGATAAAATTAATAGTAGTAGTAGAAGCAGTAGCCGTAGTAGTAGTAGTAGTAGCATTACAAGTCATTTAACTGTTCAAATTCCAACTTTTTCTCGGAAATTCATTAGACTTTCATAAAGCCCCATAAAATAATCAACTCTTCAAATTTATAACCTAATCACTAATTTCCACGTCTTTTCATTCCTTCATAAAACCTTACTTACGGCTTTCCTTAACCTCGCAGGGAAGACCATAACCTCGTCATTAAGCGCGCCAGTTCGTTGCACAATGGGCTACGTTTAAGCTAACTCTGTATTTGGTTATTAACATGGCCTGTGAGCTTGATAATGACTGTCGCGTCAACAGCCTAAAGAACCAAGTCTGTCTTTCGTGCCACCATTAACCAGGATAACCCCCATCCCCTAGGTAATCCCTTCCCCCCCTTCCCACCGCCCTCCCCCCCCTCCAGGACGCTTTCATCCTCCCCCTCTTCCCCTTTCCCCCCCCCCTCCTATCGTTCGCTCCTCGCACCCTTCTACCACCTTAACACCTTCCTGCCCCCCCCCCCTACCTACTTAACCCTACCCCCATCCAACCCTCCACTTCCCCCCACATACCTATCCCTACCCAGGGGTCTCTGTTCCCCCCCTCCTCACCCCCCCTTCCCCAAATCAACACCCAGCCTCTTCATCAGCGCCAGGCACCCTTCTCCCCCCTCCCTCGGCATCACGAGCTCGTTTCCGGGTCCCTCCCTCACCCCTCACCTCCCTCCCTATACACCACTACCCTCTAGATTCCCTCATTACAACACCCTCTCCCCCCCCCCCCCAATAATCCTACCACTCCCGGGACTCCCTCATAACCCCCCACCCCCCCTCCTCCTCCTCACAATCACATATTATGAATACTATCCCCATACCTTTATCACGTCTCCCCCCCCCCCACCATCCTGTCTTCATTATAATGGGTATTTGGCGATAACGACAGTCAACGTCTTTGTACTCAAAACTGAACAAAAGCAGGTCCGGGAAAAAAAAAAGAAAAAAAAGGAAAAAAAGAAAAGAAAAATGAGCTAAGTGTCTGGCAGCCAAGTGAAACGCTTTGATAAGGAGGTCATAATCGTAACTTAATTAAAATGCCCGGAGTGAAATAACCTCCTCTTCTTTTTCTTTTTTTCTTTTTTTTTAGTAATAACGGAGAATGGAAGTTCTTATCCAGAGTGAGAATCGCTTATGAAGTCTGTTTCTTTCCGATCGAAGTCTAGATGCTACTAGTACTTTAATTAAATGTTCCTTTGATTTCTACTTGCTTAAGCTGGTATTCAGGTTTAAATCTACTTATATTTGCACTTCAACTTGAGTTTACTTAATCTGGCATTTTGGCGTACAATCAATCAATCCAGTCCTACTTTTACAGGTGGATTAAGCTAGCAACTGATAAATTTAAACCTTTTCATTTGATACTTAAACTGAGACTTTACACGTAAACTCGTATCAAAATTGATATTCCCTAGAAGCGTTACTTAAACTTATCTAAACAGTTAAACCTCAAACAACTTGCACTGGTACGCTAACTAACTTCAACTGGTACTTAAAACTTTTGCCAACTCTGTTCCTATAACAGAACTTCCCAACTTCAAGTCACATTCTTTCATTACATTTTGATAATATTCACCAATCAGCTTATACTTCAGGCCTCTTATTCTGAAAGCTACAAGATGAATCCTTTATCTAACAGTAAGTAATAACCACAGCAAGATTTGTATATATTTCAGGGGGTAGAGATAGGCTGAAAGAAAAATAATATCCGGTCTGTCTGGAAGTTTATATATTTATAAAAACAAATTTGATACGACATGGGAACACAGTGGTGGAGGGGGTGGGGGGTATTCTGGATCGAACCCAACCACTTTCTGGAATCTGAACAATAGTTAGGAATCTGATCAACAATTGAACTACTGATAAGCATCGAAATAAGGGTTTCAAAATGTGTCGGTTCACAATGCCGAGAAGCAATTATTTTCAATATTACATTTTTATTCATTTATTTATTTAATTGCTTATTTTGTTATTATTATTATCATTATTATAATTATTATTCTTTTAATTAGGGTACTATCGCATCATGGGCGACGTTATAGCAAAACGACGATGATAGTTCGTGTAAATATTTACGCCTGTATCTCAGCGTTATTACGAGCATATATATTCCACATATGCGTGCTTACATTAGTTTGTGTATGTGTGTGTGTGTGTGTGTTTACGTGTATGTTTACGTGTGTGTTTACGTGTATGTTTACGTGTA